GTATGTTCTTTATTGAGATATTTAAATATTATATACGTGCACAGTCGTCCTTTAGTGTACAAGTAATAATTTAAAAGATGCTTTCCTATACATTCTATGACAAATCGTGATTCCTTTGAAACAATGTCTTAAATAAATTTGTATTCTCATTCTCTGGAGTTTGCAATTCATATGGTATTTTTTTTTGCACTTTTTAAACCAGTCAAGGCAGTTTTACATTTTCAAAATTTCGACGCCTAACTACCTCACTAGACTGGTTACTCACCCAAAATACTTTGTTTGAAATTTTTCTCATTTTACAAGATTTCCAAAGTGGATATTTAAGAAATAGAACATTTCTTTGTGGTTCTTGAAGACCAGGCCCCGGGATCATGAAGCATCTTAAGCTTAAGTCAAAAAATGCCTTAGTTGCTGAAATTTGTTAGAGGTTAAGCAGCCCAAAATGAAAATGCTTTCCAATTTTGTATCATCAATTTGCTGTCATATGAAAATTATAAATTTCCTTTAACAAGTTTGAAAGATTTTATAGATTATTGAAATTTTGACTTAAGTCTAAGTCTGTTTCATGATCCTGGGGCCAGGTGCACCATGAATCTTGAAATATATATAAACCCTTATCTCACTTCTTAGTAAACTGCCCTGTTTTTATACTCTGATGAACTGGAATTTTTTCAAAAACATCATCAATATATAATTTCGTTAATCCTCATTACTTTACACATTTTATGCTTGAATAAATCATCATCAAATTTTGATGACCTTGTAAAAGACCGGAAAAAAATGATGATCTACGCGGTTAATCAAACATCTTTTTCTATTTGTTCATAATAGATTTTTTTTTTGATTTGAACGTTTATTTATTATTTTCATAGAAAATTTTTGCTTTGAAGCAAAATTCACAATAATTAAAAATATATTTGTGCCAAAGATAAATAATATTTATATCCACAGTTTTTGCTATTTGCAACTCAGGGAAAAGACTGGCAATTCTTAGATCTTTTTGTTGTTGTTGTTGCTAAATCACGTATATCACATATAAAATGAGAAACAACGCAACATGAGTCAAAATGACAATATTAAAAAATAATGCCAAAATGAATAAAATGTAAAACACAATTCAAAGATTAATAAGCTGAAATCTAAAGTCAAGCAAACAATGTTTCAATCTGATTATATTCAGTAAAATAACACGATGACTATTCGTATATTTATATTAGAAATCCAACCCAATACAACTTCAAGAAAATTTATCAAAGTTTAAAGTTACAATATACCTAACAATTCATAACTGTTAAAATAAGAGAAAAAAAGGGGCAACACAAAAGAGTCATGCGTCCAAAATACATGCTGTCTACAGGATGTGCGTTGATTTGCCATGTATCTTTGAAAAAAAGGTTACGATATATAAAACACAAGCTTTTTAAACAAACAATTAATTAATGAAATTTCAATTTGTGCATAATTTAAATATTTATCGTTCCCCTCCTTTTTCCAATTTTATTACTATAATGAAGAATTTATTGGGGGACAATATTATTTTAGTTTATGTCATTGAAACTGTCGGAAAATATAATGAAAAAATTGATTCCGAAAAAAAAAAATAAAAAATTCATATAATCTTTTTCAGTTGATTGTGTAACTGTACCCATTTAATGATGCAAAAAGGAACAATAAAAAGTGTTATTCATGTCTTGATACATGTAGAACTTTAATTATCATTTTATCATTAACAAATTTATTCTTAGTTATGTGCTCCATTTCATCTAAAGTTATGCAATGAACTAATTTAAGGACACGATCGGTTGTGTGTGCACTAAAGATATACATCTTTTGGTAGATAATGCATACCAATATACATTATTCTATTTACATATATCCGTGGATTATACATATACGTACATGTTTTTAATAATGCATACCTACTACATATGTTAGCTTTTCTAACTTGTTATAAACATCATTAGTAAATTAATGAATTTATTCACCTATTTTCTTTCTTCTTTTTTGGAAATCACCGACACTTGTTTGTCATCAGAATGAACTCTTTTTAAACTGTTACAAGATGATTGCATTTGTCAGGTGACCAACTTTATTTTCACTCGATTTGACAATAATTATGTAATTTGTTAAAAAATTGCTATGGGAAAGAGATAATTGACCAAAAAAAAAAAAAATATAAGAAACTAAATATAATAGACCAATAAAAAATTACCCCAGTTAAAGTTGAAATTAAAACCCAACCCCTTTACCCTGCCTTAAACTATAAAAGGAAAGCAGTTTGCGTTTGAAAGTATTCTTGTAGCCACAGAGAATCATTTGGCAGGTATGTGCAATTAGAATAATTTTTTAAAGTAAGAGAAAAGCACAATGAAATGTCCGAGTATAAAAGTTGTTTTTTATCTTTCTACAAAGGCATTTTTTGTTTCTTTTGTAATGATTGTTTGTAAATGGCCCTCTTTTTTCCAGAAGTATCATTAATTGTATCCAACGAATGAACAAATTGTGAGAGAAATCTGAAAAATCAGTTGTTTAATACAAAAAACGGACTAAGTTTTGGCATTGCTTAAAGTACACACATAACCTTTAATTTTTCAAAAAACTGCTTAATTCTTGATCATGACAAGGAGCACACGGCGGGTGTGACCAGTCGGCAGGGGATGCTCACTCTCCATGGCACCTGATCACACCTCCGATGTTTTGGAGGTCCGTGTTTTCTCAGGTCCTATTTTGTATTCTTTTATGGACTTTTGATCTTGAATATTGTTCGTTATCTCCATATTTCATCATATGCGAGGGTTGTCCCAAAAAGTCGTAGACAATGTTTATAATTTTTTAAACATGTAACCAATACTTACCAAATTTTGCATAGACATAATATAGTCAATGTTCTTTAAAATTGTATTCAAATACATTTTTCAAATCTAATTTTAGGTTTATTGATAAGCAAATTGCTTAATTATAACATATGCCTTTATTTCTTTAGTACTATGGACTACATTGAACATAAATTCAAATCACTGAAACCAGAATCAAAATCTTAATAATATGTTAAAATTTCATATAAATAACATTAAAAACAGACGATTGGTGTCATGATTTCCATAGTATCGTTGAAATTGAGTTTGATGAAAATGATTCAATCGCAATCATTAATTAACTAATTGTGTTGGATATGATTTATATACATCAGAGACGGGAAAAAAGAGTACAGAAATGATATTACATGTACAAACCATATTTTTATAAAGAAGTTATTTTGAAAATGCACGATATTCAATGAAATTTTTTCTTCTATACCGAAATTAGTTAATTACGGCATGTAAGAAGTAGAGTACTGTTTGAATGTGAATACACGCGAGTGAAGTAGACAAAGAGATCATGACGTCATAAGAGACGTAATTTGCACTTGCTTTCGTGCGCCGGTGTACACTTATAGTTTACTTCATTTTTTCACAATTTTGAGGACACAAAATTTGAAGGAGTGATCATAAAATGTTATTTTCATGACATAAAGAAATTTAATTAGACAAAACTTGTGTATGGCTATTTTTGGGACAAACCTCGTATATTTTTTCATTAACAAACCTGAAATTTGCTCCGAATTATAGATTTTTATTTAAGGGGAGACAGGACACATGTCACATGACTAAAAAGACATATTACATCATAATCGGTGATGATAAACATGTTAAACGTTGTTAAAATCAACAGTTCTTGTGTAAGAATTTTATTCTAAATTCTAAAATATTGTTTTTAAACATTAAATTTCATAAATTATTGTGAATAAATTTTTTAAAGATCTTGCCATCATTTGTTAAAAACACATTTGTTTCTCTTTACCCTGCAGTAAATTAATGAATTTATTCACAGCGATTCTATACACACCCGTCATGATCAGTTTTATTTCATAACAAACAGGTCACAGTCAATGTATCGTGATAAATTTCTGCTGCAGATTTTTTAAATTAATATTTTTTCTTTTTAAACTGTTCTCTCTATTTAGATAATTTTGAATGTTTATGTTTTTGTGTGACGTCACAATTGATTTCACGCACTCGGAAAATAGGAACGTGAAGCGTTTTATCATTTGTTAAAAATGTCCTGAGCGATATTGAGGTAAGCTTCACCCTGTGATATTTATGCAGTAAGTAATTACAATTTTGGACTGACATTCAATTGTAAATTTAGAAATATTTATTGACAGAATTTTTTCCAAATGAGGTTTTTGTCGTTGAGGCTGCCTTGAAAAATGCAGAAATTATCCCACCCAAATACTATATAAAAATTAAAACAATTGCTTTCAGATAATTTAAACACTATGAATATTCTGAAATATTTGATTATATAGTGTTATCTAATATTTATTTTTTGTGCGTAAAAATTCGCATTATGGAATCATTTGGGCCCGTAAACATGAAGACTCCATACAAACTCTAAACAGGGGGTATTTGTGGGGCGATATCTTTTAAATAAGTCAAGAAATCCCATGACAGGACAGTTTTAAAATGTTAAGTACATAGTAAATTAGTAATATAAAAAATACGAAAAAAATTCAAGACAGGAATTTTTTCTGCGAAAGGTTCTGTTCCTCCTAAAGTAACGCCAACGTAATATTATTTGCTTGCCCCTTTTCCATCAAGGTTGAAAAAACGGGCTAGTATGTACAGAGTAGGTTGAAAGTTTTTGCTAGGTAATTTTCAAATCAATGTTTAATTTTTTAAAACAAGCTGGCTGTAATACACAAATATGTTTCTTATCATTAAAAAAAAAGAAGATTTTTATCAAGCCATTTAAGCTGGTCGGTCGATAGAGGGAGAGAACAATTTTTTTGTTCATGATGGTCATTTGGTAAGTTGGTGTTACAAGGAAATACGTAATGTACAGTGATATTGGTAATTAAATAAATGAAGATTACGATTACTTGTTTACAGACAATATGAATACCTTAATAGTGTTCACCTCCATTCTTGTCTCCTGTTATACGGGCGGTGACGACAAATATGGCTCAAAAGGCGTTCACCATTTTGGAGGGGGAGGAGTGGGCGGTCAAGTTGTCGGGGGAGGATTCCCAGTTGGTGTTGGTGGTCCGCTGGGAGGATTACAAAGATCAGACAAGCATGTATCTTTTGACATAAAAGTTCATGATAAATGTACTTGTTACTTTCAATTGATTACTTTTTGTTGATAAGTATATTAATTTAGTAATAAACTGAATAAATCAGAGACAATATAAGATTTGATAAAATTCATTCCGTGTAACGCAAAAGTTAAGTCACATTTGTCTACAAGGGATGTCGAAGTCTAGAATTTTTGCAAAGCAGAACTATTTATAGTATATCTGAAAAAAATATTTTCAAAATCTTAGTAATAAGAGCATAATGAAATTTTTTTATCTCATGATAATGAAATATTTCCATTTTTATTTTTTTTCTGTGATAACTCTTGAAAGTTAGCAGACTTGATTTCCTGATAACTCTACCTGAATGTAAATTAGGCAGGTCGATATTTCGGGAGCTAAGGAAGCCTAATATGCATGCAAATCTTGAGCGCATCTGTCTCTGTGTTTGACGCTAAGGATGCCAAATATGCATGTAAATCTGGTGTCTTCCCACTTAGCCAACATTTTTTAAAAATACAGGTAAAACACAGGTAAATCTGTGTTGGCTAAGTGGGAATGGGGTACAGGTAGAGAACAAAAGAAATTAAATACAGGTAGGCTATAGTCTGTTTTAAGGTGAATAAAATATTCAATTTAAGTCTATTTTAATTTGATGCATTTATTTAAGTCATACATCAGATAATCAAAATTGTTAAAAAAAAAACTTTCTAATTATTTTATGTAAAGATAGGTCTTTTTTGTAATTTTACATAATCTTGCACATTTCAAAGTTAAGATATCAAGAATGTTTAACAATAACCCATTTATTTTTCGACTTTACATTTTAGAGAACAGAAAAATTACGTCAATTAAACTCTAGAAACGCTAGGTTTTACAAGTTCAAAATTGGTGAGAATTTAAATTTGAACATAAATCACATTAATTTTACCATGTATATTTACACTTAATTCCATTTTCATATTTTAGCTCAGATATGCCATATAAACATGTAGATTTAGGTATAACTCTTATAAATTAAAAAAAAATGCAGAATTCATTGATTATATTTAGATCGTTTATAGTCTTTCCTTCTTTTATTATTTTAAAAATGAAAAAAAGCAAAATATGCTGTATTTCATGCCTTTTTTTTAAATGTCCGGATAAAGTTTTCGTCGATAATCTTCTTCCTGTCCTCCTGCATAGCCTTTTTACAGAGGTCTAACGGTCTAAAATTTCAATTTGCTTTTTGTGGACGAATGTTACGAATATCCTAGTTTAATACATGTTTTATTATGCATATTTTGGATCTATGTTGGCGATATCTCGAGCATTACACATAATTTAACAAAATTGTGGTGCGCCGTCAATTCAGGAGACATCATTTTCACAGTCGTTTTCACGGGAATCGCATCAGAGAAAAATTATTATATCTCTGTTAATACTTCAAATATCACGTCAGAAATCTAAATGCATAATAATAGAACAATTTAAAGATACATTTGAGAAAATTGTCTAAAAATATCGCGAATTATAGAAAATTAATGAGTTAAATTTTGGATTCCGCATGCTTTTGCTTCAGATTTTTTGTCGTGCTCCGTACCTTTCCATCAGCGATATCAACATACCGATAATTTTAGTAGAATTTTTTAAAAATACAGAAGTTTTGCCCAAAATGTATTGGAATCTTTAAGATACATATTTCTGTGAAATTTCATAACTCTATGACGTCTGTAAGAGTAAATAATTCAACAGTCCGCGTAATTTTTGAACGGCCCTCGTATATTTATAAAAAAAAATTCTGAAACTTTAATTTTATTACATTGATTTTATAATTATATTGATTAAAATTTTAATTTCGATTTATGTATTTTTACACATTTCAATGGTAGTAATTCTCAGGTAATCCATATATACTCAACCCTGAAAACAGATTGTAGCCTGTTGGTCATTCAGGTGTAAAAATCAAAATGTTGGCTATGTGGGAATAGGTTTTTTCAAAATGTTGGCTAAGTGGGAATAAACCGTAAATCTCGTGCGGCTGCCTTCGTGTTTGACGTCAGTGGGCAAGGACTATTGAAATTGGCATAAGAGTCCTCGTGTAATTTTAATCTATGTTGAAAGAACTTTATTCGGTAATTACCAATATTTGCCCCCCAAATCAAACTTTGATGGATATATATTTAATTAAGTTCTTAAACAGGGGAGTATATGCTGACTTCAAAGCAGTGAATATTTTCATAAGTAATGACGTCATATGTACGTAATGACGTGACAAACATGACGTAAGTTTCAGTTTTTTATGAATTTTACAGAAAAATGTACATATTTCATATTTTGATATGCATGTGTGTTCAGGATCAATATTTTGATATAATGTGTAGAATGATAATATCAATGAAATATGTCAATATTGTTCTGCAAACTTGCGTGCTAAAATTGTTGAAAATTTGTCCATTTTGTCCTCTTTCTGAAAAAGGATATAAAATCTGACTACTTTATGACGTCATAAAAACAAAAATTGTGAATACTCTGCTTTGAAACTATATTATTTTCTGTAAATTTGTATTTCTCATACAATTTATTGAATTCTGCACATTTCAGGAAGTTTTCAAAATTTGACTTTTGTGGGGGCAAATATATGCAATATACCGCATATAGTTCTTTTTAAAGTCTAAGTCTACAATTTTATTTCACAATAAATGGAAATATAAGGAATCGCTGTCAAGTCACTGTAGTATGCCAGGGACATTAACGATAGTGGGAAACATGGGATAATTTATGCAAAGTGGACTTAAATAAAATAACATCTGATTGGACATCGTTTTTTAAAAAAAAAAAAAAAAAAAAAAAAAAAAAAAAAGAGTCGTTTTATTTAAAGGATTTTACACTTTTAAATTAACACTAATATTATATACGTAACAAATCTCTCAGTCAACTTTTCTTTAACATTATAGGACGGTGCCATTTTTGAAAGCATTATTGACTATTTTGTTTCGTAGTGGTAAAGTACGAGACTTGCCCTTATCCTTATGAAGTAGACAGTAAACAAATCGGACCCTACTGTTCCAATGACGACGGTTGCCATGGATCACAAAAATGTTGTCCAAATTATGTCTACGGCGGAAATCGGTGTCAAATCCCACGTGAATATCAACGATACGGTAGCTGCAACAGTAATTTTGTAGACCTTCCTTTCCACCCAACTCGCAGAGCATGCAATGATGACACCATTTGCCCCCATGTTGGAAAATGCTGTCGAAGAAGATCGTCTAGGCAAATAGACACATGCACTTATCCTTCCGTCCCTTACCGACTTGGCCTCGGTGGTGTAGGTGGTCCATATAGTCCAGTTGGTGGAGAGTCATTTGGTCCTGTTGGTGGTGGTTCATATGGACCTGTAGGCGGTCCAGGTGTAGGAAGTCCACTGCTCCTGTTACTTCCCCATGAATCGTATAAGAAAAAATATTAGATTTGATTGTGTATATCGTTGCTGTTCTTAAAAAAATAATAAAAGCTTCTATCTTCGTTTCTTTTATTTCAATAAAAGGGCAATTATATATTAAGTTCTTCAAAATAAAATAAAAATCACAGTTGACAAAGAAATGAGAACAACCTTGTGTATTAAAGATTAAAGGCAGAGATTTTTTACCGGGTGGTAAATTCCAGGTGAGGGAGGGGCTTATTTTGTACAGGTGTGAATGCCCTGGGGTTAGCAGTAATAAGTGATTTAATACACAGTGAAATACCCCAGGTGTCAAACTTTACCTGTGTTGGGGATTTTGAGACAGTTTTAAAATTAGTAGTAAAAGGGCTTTTTAGTTACATTGATTTTTAAATTAAGTTTGACTTTTTGAAAACACCCCTAACCATTTTAACAAATATGACATAATACTGTAAATTCAAATATTAAAACAAAGATTATTTCAGATTTGGGTGTATGTGTTAATTAAAAAAAAAACAACTCTTGTAACAACCCAATTCGGCTTTTAAAATTTATTCATCCACATGATTCTCTCTATTAATTAAATAAAAAGAGTGTCATGTTAACTACATTTCACGAAAAAAAAATATCTAGATTTATCCTAACCTTAATAAATCTTTTTCACCATGAAACATGCTAACAAGACTGCTTGTAAATTCTTATCTGATTAAAAAAGGAAAATATATTAAGTGACCCATGATTAGAAACATTATTTCAAAATTTAATTACTTCACTTAGTGCTGCTCTGAACTTTATCAATAACATTTCCACTTGAGGTTTACCATTTAGTGTATTAAAATTAAAATCGAAATTTCATTTGATTTCATGTACCAAAGGTTAATTTGAAAAAAAAAATGTATATCATATTATAATCCTTTCAAATACTAAACGTTTATTTAATTCATATATTATCAATCTAAAAATGTTCATAGTAATACGTACAGTTTCTGTATACAATGTTCAGTAAACATCAAAGGATCGAAAGTTAATTAGAAGGTCACCACGAGTCCCAAACAAGGTGTACAGGGTATACACAGAGACCAGTAAGTAAGTGTCAATCAAGTTCCAGCATCCAATGATCGACCTTCATGCACTTGATTGACAGGGCTACCCAGACCAGGTATTTTTGAAGGCGGTGCTTAAAATCTCTGCCTTTAAAATAAATCCAACATCAATAGTACGCATTTAGGACAGATGATACAAACAATTTTTTTCTTTGGAGGAGACCTAATATCATGTCACAAATGTAGTAAAGTTGATAATTCTTAGAATTTTTTCTCCTAAGAACTGGAAAATGAAATAGACTTGGAAAATATTAGTTATATTACAATAAAATTACAAATATGGACAAAACACACTCAATAAAGGTTTAGAGATGGAAACAAATTTTAGAATATGTTACATTCTTTGGTGCAAAAAGTGTGAATTTTATCAGGAAAAGCAAAATGATAAAAATCAGCCTATATGATATTGCTGATTTGACTTGTCAGTTTGCTTTTCCTGATAAAATTCACCTGGCTTGGTATACTTTTCTAAAGTTTTTATTACACTTTTAGCTCCAATGTAACATATTCTAAAATCTATTTTCATCTGTAAACCTTTACTGGGTGCGTTTCGTCCATATTTGCTTTTTTATTGAAATATTACTAATATTTTCCAAGTCTATTTCATTTTCCAGATCTTAGGATAAAAAATTCTAAGAATTATCCACTTTTCTAAACTTGTGACATGTTATTAAGTCCTTCCAAAGAAAAAAAATTGTTTGTATCATCTGTCCTTAATCCTATGGTAAAAAGAAGTAAAATGTTGTGTGAAAAATTAAAATTCTTGGTTTTAATTATATAAGACTAATGGTTTGAAGATCACTACAATAAGTCTCATTTAATATACACCTATAAGGTGTAGGTTTAAGATTGTTGAATATTTATTTGGTTAAATCTAGATCTAAATAAAACGAAAGATGTGCATTGAATATTTTAAAATCCCAAATCCCTTAGCCTGAGGTAGTTATTTATATTTTAAAAATCTGTTGTGTTTAAAAACCTGTCGTTAGTTATATCATACAAATCTGTTCATCACTTTACATATGTTAGAACTATGCATATAGATGTTTACTATTAAATCGTATTTACAATGAAATAAAACAATAGGAGTCCTAATATACCATCATAGAGATTCTTGCAATAATTATATATTCCTTCAAGTTAAAAAAAAAGAACACCTTTATTATCAATTCAATATATCAGTAATTTTATTTTTTTGCATGATACATTAAATGCGAAACAATTTGATGTGTTTTATTCTCATTGGCGAATACAATCCTCTTCTTCACTTAAATTTCATGTCCAATTTAAACTGAAGTTTCACATAAAATTGATATGGCATTATTTTGATACTGAACTGTTTGAACATTTTTTTTCCTTTGACTGAATCGTGAGAAGCAAACATACGTATGACGGTTGCCAAGAGATGTTTATTTCTCCATGGTATCTGTTCCCACCCCGACGTATTTGGAGGCCCGTGTTTGCTTTCTTCCCATTTTTTTTTTCATTGAACTTTGGAACTTGATTGCTTTTCGTTGACTTGATTTTCCATTGCATACGTAAGCATCGGCAGTCAAAAATTCTATACATTAAATGTACCCTTACTCATTGGAAAATAGTATTTATCAAATATCTCTCAAAGTCATACTGGATAAAATACAGTCAGGTCATTTACGGTAGTCGATTTAGGGGATGAAAAAGAAATTGAAAGAAAAATACTTATCATAGAACTCATTGTTTGAAAGTCTTTACCCCGAATTCGAAGGAAAGATCTGAAGATTAGAAATATTGAGGGTTATCTTCCAAAAGAAGTTAATGGGACCGCAAAATAACATGTCCATGGTATTCGAGATAAGCGTATATAATGTACCATACATGTATAGATCAACTGTATATGATATCGAATTAATAAGAATTTTAAAAATCCTTTCAAAAGAAACCCTTTGTCAGGATACAGATAAGAGATCAATTCAATATCTTACAAGCTCATATATAGCTTCAGATTTTGAGTTGTAATCTTGTCAATCTTGTCAATTGACTATACTGTTATATTTTGTTAACTTTTGATTTTTGAATCATTGATTTTTTCATTATATATTTTTTTTAATTAATAGAATAATTTTAAGAAAAAAGAATAATATTACAGTTTCATTTCAGCACTAAATAACGAATCTAATTTGATTTATAATGCGATGCATAGGGTTGCTTACTTTAATTCTAGGAATTCTTAAGTTACACGACAGGAAATTGTATGAAATATTAAAAATCATTGGACGAAGAATTTTATGCAAATAATCATCCTTGAAATCCATGCACCGCTTCATGTACTTTTGTGTGTTCCCTTAATTAAAACACTTACCTTGATTGATTATCTTCATCTTTGGCATACGTGTCAAAGGTTGAATTTTTGTGTTGAGGGTTTCAGCATAAAAAGCAGTCCGTGCCCCTGTTTCTGCATTCCTCATTCCTGCAAGGAATCCTCAAGGTGAGTGCTAACTGTATATTATGAAAAAGTAAAACAAAAATAAGAGATCGTTTTTCTACTTTAATACATGTTTTTATGTATTTTGTGCTGTTCAATATAAAAAATCCACATTTTTAAATTAATTCAGAGTATGTAACAGTTTACGATCTATAAAATTTTTTTTACTTTGTTCTAAATAAAGGTCTTCATCTGGAAGATGTATTTAAAATCATTTATCAAAACACTAAAATTTTTCTGATCACTTGTCTATTTCTCTTCAAAACTTAACGATCATTTAATTATATTAAGTTGCACCACAAAGTAGAGTATATTAAATCAATTTTTTTTTACAATTTTAAAATTTTTTTATGCAAGAGCTGTTACATGTATTTAGACACTGTTAACTTAAAAAGCATAAGTAAAGCATGGAAAGAGAAATAAAGATTATTTTGGCATCTTTTATCTATTCTTCCCACTATAATCAATGTATCAAATTAAAAAATGTCCCAATAATAATCCGTACGGAAACTGTTAATCTTAAAAAAGTGTATCATATTATTGTAACATTAATTTCATTGTTAGTATATTTTCATTTAATGAAATCAGCTCAAGAACATAAATCAGAATTTCTCTCGAAGTCGTCGACAATCTAAAAGTTTATCATTTTAAGTATGGTCAAGCAAAGATATGCTAAAAAATGACCTTCCATTTCACTTTAGAAAAAATAAGTAGATGATATTTGTTTCTTCCAGACCCCAGCATGAACACACTGATTGTTTTCGCCGTGTTGGTAGCATCTTGCTTTGCTGGATACGACAAGAAAGGTATATTCCTTATATATAATGATGTTATACGTAAAAAAAGAAATACAGTAAAACTCGTTTGGTACGAACACGGATATAGCAAAGTCATATAGGATCCCAGCTTAATAAATGTAATGAATTTCTTATATAGTTACACCGAATTACGGATATAGCGATTTAATTTCATAGGTCCCAGCAACTTTGCTATAACCGAGTTTTGCTGTATATGTACTAAGAGTCGTAATACTTTCGAAATTTAGAAACACAGGGTTGCAATATCTTTTCTTTTTTTTTCTTTTTTTGGCTGAGGATATAAAAAATAAGGACAGTCATGCAATCTATATTTTGATTATTAACGTTTATTTCCACAATATTTTTCTCTCTTTATAAAAAACTTTCAAATCAAGATTAATTAATGTTTTATAATTTAAATGTTTATCAATTATTTTAGTCGTTGGACCAGGGTTGAATAAGTTTGGAACTTGCTCTTATTATGCCGACTATGGGGCCCTAGGCAGGCAATGCTTTTCTGACTACCAATGTCCTGGAGAACAGAAGTGTTGTTTCGCGTACGGAGGTTTGAGAAGATGTCAAGTTCCCATCGAGTATCAGCGAAATGGAAGATGCCCTGTTTATTCCAGCTCCTACGGTTCTTTTTGTACCACAGACAGAAATTGCTATCCCGGCCAGAAATGCTGCGCTAGTTCATATGGTGGTATCTACGGAGATGTTAACACATGCAAAAATGTCTATTATGCCTTTAATCAACTAGGCGGCAGTTTCCCCTATTCTGTCGGAAATGTTGGTTCATACCAACTTCCTTCGTACACAGGAAATGTACCTTATTCACCTCTTGTTTACGGACCCGGAGTTGGTAGCGTAGTTGGTAGCGGACTTTACGGACCCGGAGTTGGTAGCGTAGTTGGTAGCGGACTTTACGGACCCGGAGTTGGTAGCGTAGTTGGTAGCGGACCTTACGGACCCGGAGTTGGTAGCGTAGTTGGTAGCGGACCTTACGGACCCGGAGTTGGTAGCGTAGTTGGTAGCGGACTTTACGGACCCGGAGTTGGAGTTGTACCTGGTGTGTCAAGTGGATATTACGGACCCGGTGTCGGTAGTGTCTATTCTAACCCAGTGATTAAAAAAAACTATTAGAATCCTTACCTGTCTTATTTGTTGATGTTAATAAATCAATTAGCAATTTAAGTCAGTGATTTTGTTTTTCTTCAAACTTCAAATATTTCAAAAGCAAAAAGTTAATTAATTTTTTTCTTTATCATCGATTATAGTTTATTATGCCACGTGTAATTCTCTAATAAGCCTGATATCTATGAAGTCTAGATTTTGTCATACTTCTGTATAATTTTCTCTCTGAAATATCTGAAGAAAAAATAAATTTTAAGGAAGTTCACGTGGATATCTGAATAAAAGTGAAATAAGTATATAATCAGGCATTCTGACACTCTCTACCATCGGCTCAAACATTCACCTCTGTCGTTGGCTCGCGTATATCACAGTGATAAACATGAGAAAAAGTGCGTTTGTTTTAATTGCTTATGTCTGAGTTTTGAGATAGATTTTTACTAAATAAATAAAGAACTATCAGTTTAATTTGAAAAAATCCTGCAAAAATCACGTTTTAAACGTTATGTCAAAAATCTTGACGTGAGCCCATTGCAGAGGTGTCTGAGAGAGCAACGAACGACAACTCTGCATGGGAGATTGGCATTCTGAAAGTATACCCACAGTCCTAATTTTTTGCTAGTTAATGCACTGTGACGTCATGAATTGCGTCATTTTTCAAAAATTTTTAGTATGTTCTCAATTAAGACGAAAAATTATGTTATTTTCCAGTATTTTATAAAAAGTACAAGCTCTGATTCAAGATGTGCAAGTATATAAACAACCTGTTTTTCATATATACATGTGTATTTATATATATTTCTTGCTGAAAATCTTTTCTGCAAAACTCAAGAACATTGCGACTTCAAACAACCTGTTTTTCAATACATGGACTTTTTATATAAAATGATGTTGAGATTTGGACAGAGGGTGTTAGTCATTAATGTTGTTCACTTAGTCTAATGCTGATTGAACCTACACTGAATTGTTAAAGGCTTTTTTATCTTTCCAGTTATGACAGGGAGCTCTCGGGGATATGGTCGGCCGGTGTAACGACAAAAAGTGACCCCCGTAGAATATTGACCGGGGGGTCATTTTTCTTCGTGGAAATTTGACCCCCTGGTCAATATTCTACGTAGAAAAATTACTCACTTTTTTGTAGAAATTATGGCCTTGAGGTCGTTTTTCTCCGTGTGCATTGTAGAGAAGGATATGGAAATAACGAACAGTATTCAATATCAAAGTCCATAAAACAATACAAAATAGGAGCAGAGCAAACACGGACCTCCGAAACATCAGAGGTCGGGTCATGTGCCATGGAGGGGTGAACATCCCCTGCTGATCGGCCACACCCGCGCCCTGCACTCCTTGTCATGATTGGGAAATAACGGAAAAAGCCGTTGTCAATTCAGTGAATAAATAATGGACTAACAATTATTAAAAAAAACGTCAGTCAGCATTTGACTCAATGAAAAATTGTATTTGCTGAAAAGGTCATTTTCATAAAGCCTAGAATTTACGATATGATGACTTCAAACGAGACTGCTGATATTCTTAATTGTTTCATCAACTTGTTTGAAATGGTTCATACGTAGAGCATACTCTTGCGTCTCGAATCAACTGAGAAATATAAACTCTGTATGCAGGTGAGGAAGGTATATTGCTGTATAAATAAGGAGGTTGACGATAGAAAAGTTAAAGTAATCACGTTAATCATAGAGCTAGGTTGCTAGATTACCATCAAGTAAAAATCCAAATATGAAACAGAAGTGTCAGACTCTTTTATATCTTTAATCTCTAGCTCACCAGGCTCTATCGTGCCATTTTTGAAACAAAACCTTTGAATGATAAAAATAACATTCAAAAATATAATCCTAAATTTATGTTCCCCAATGAATTACATGTAATAGTTATTAGTATTCTGCAAGCCAAAAACAATTCAAACGAGATACATTGATTATTATGCCACTATTAAGATATGCAATCAAATATATGTTGGGAAGGAGTAAAGTACACCCCCTCCTTACATTTGAAAGTATAAAAAAAAATATCAGGAGACACAGATAAGTATTTGTTGTATAAAAAGTAGGGGGTCATTTTTCAACGTGTGTGGAGTCGTAAAATTACTGGTCTGGAATGTTTTTCTACGGTTGAAAAATGCCCCTACTTGTCGTAGAATATTGACCCTGGGTCAGTTTTCTACGTAGAAAAATGACCCCCTGGTCAATACTCTACGGGGGTCACTTTTCGTCGTTACACCGGCAGGAGATGTATACTTTGCTTTGGCATCCGACTTCTAATGCTCTAAAGGTCCGTTTTTGCTCTGTTCCCGATATGTATTTGTATTATTACAATTGACTTCTGAATTTGCTAACTGTTCTTGATATATTATATGGTAATCTAGACAGAAAGAAATTTACTCACAGATACATGTATTTATGTAAAATAAAATGTTGTTTTCCCAATCCAAAATCGCAACAAGGGTACTGCAAAGAGTTGGACGTTAATACTGATGCAACTTTTGCCACTCAAGTGACCGACTGGGTTTCCATTGCGCAATAATTCGCGCATCATATTAAAGCAAAGACGTATTTATTGTTTTAAAGCAACCTTTTTCACTTAATTAACAACATTTAGCAAAATTAAGAAATAGGGTAAAAACTTTAATTTCAATTTTTATAGCTGATTTTTTAAAGGTTTTTCAACTGATATGTACATTGATGTCATCATAGTTTGTTTTTGACGTTCTGATAAACTGAATCTCGAAAAGAAGTAGCTGCAGAAATGTAGCTCTCCGAAAAAAATATATTGACAGACCGGAGAGCTACATTTTCACCCACTGAAAAAAATGTATATTTAATTTATCGCGCACAAAAAAGTGCTCTGTTTTTCGATTTATTTCTCTACGTTTTTAAACTCATCTCTAAATATTACTAACCGTGTATTCCTAACATATTATTTCACTAATTCTACGACAAAATAGCCCTCATAATTGTTGTTAATAGCCCTTCTGACACTGAAATTGAGATCATCGAAAATTTCGTTTATTTATCCTGCCATTTTGGATTGCAAGATAATTCGGTTAAAATGCTTTGTGCAGGTGTCCACTACCAAGGTACTTGATAGAGGAGTAAGGATTTTTTTAATCTATTTTTTTACGATTAAGGTAAGAATTTTGAAGAATTAATCGAGAACTTAGCGCAACTTTTTGTGCGCAATAAATATACAGTTTTTTCAATGGGTGGCACTGTAGCTCTCCCGTCTCTCAATATATTTTTTTCGGAGAACTACAGATCTGCAGCTATAAAAGAAGGGAAAATAAAAATGTTATGAAAGAACAAGTATTAATAACACATATGCTCTTGAAATTTAAAACATAAAAATTTGAGAATCTCTTGATCTTTTTTCTTATTTCTTAGAACTTATTCTTTATATCCGTCATATTTTGTAGTTCTCCATTAAAACAGGAAAAAGTTAATTTTTTTGCATTTTGAAATGCCTCCTCTGGAAACCAGAAAGTAGAAATTTGTGTTTTATATATACAATGTACAATGTAGTATTACTCATCATATATTACAATCTGAGCAAAAAGTCTATTGTGGTATTTATTTTATTTGCTTTAAAGTACGAAAAATTGGAACTTTCCTATATAATTCTTTAGTACATGTACCTGTTTTTTGAGACCGTCTCTTTGAAATACCTGGACGGTACATTTTCCCTCAGCTTGGTATGTACACTGAATTCAACGTACGTAATATATGTTATAGAACTAAAGAGTGTCGTTTTTGTAGTTTTTGCACGATAAAACCCCAGTCTGCTCCCTCAAGTGAACTATGTAATTATTGAAATATAATATGTGATATGTGAATATTATCAAACGCCATACAACAACTTCTTATTTGAAGTTTCTTCATATATAGAGAATAATAAACAGCATGCAGTTTCTATTCAGCTTTAAAAAATGTGTTACATGTATGCACCATTTTATAAGTTCTCATACCAAATTCAGAATCTACCAAATTCCGATACGCAAGAAAATGCTCTACTTGTGTAAACCTTCTAGATCGAGATAAATTATTGACAAAAAATTGTTGGAACAGGAATATCTTTAGTCACGTTTGAAACCATTATTTATGATCAATACAATGATCTTGTCAGCAGATGCAATATATCATGAAGTCAATTGCTGACTGGCTTTTTTTTTTTTACTTTTCATTAAGTTAACCCTTGTGTCGCAAGTTAATCCCACTGCGAGACATGGAGACCACTCCTTCGGTTGTGACCGTATATATTAACCGGGGCCCTTGCCGCAATAGGTGCCAGCACGAATAAGATCCCTCAAGGCTCAATGGCTGTAAGTGTCGAGTACGTACATGTACGTATAGGTCAGAATTTATAGCCCTCCACTGGCAAGTGGTGGCGTCCCCATATTAGCAAAAAAATGCACAAGAGGGACGTTAAAGAACAAACACTCAATAAATCAATCATACTAATTTTTAGACCATTATTTACTCACTGATTTGTCGACGGTTTTTTTTTTTCACTTAAAATAGATATGAACCATTTTTGTGTCTCCCTTTCACAAAAGAGACCTTACTAGTATTTTTGTCCCCCGCTTTCACTGAAAGTGGGGGATATTAATTTGGGTCTATCTGTCCGTCCGTCTTTCTGTCTGTCTGTAACGCTTGACAGCATGATATCTCGAGAGCCCTGTGAGCGTTCTCAATGAAATTTTGCATAGCAACTCCTATGGCCTAAAGAAGAACCGTATTGATCTTGAGGTCAAAAGGTCAATGGTCAAGGATAAGTTAATAAATTCCGTTTGTTATAACATTTTCGTTTCCGCGCGATATCTCGAGGACCCTTTAAGCTTTTGCAATGAAATTTTACATAACAACTCCCTGTGGCCTAAGGAAGACCCCTTTTGATTTTGAAGTAAAAAAAAAACAAAGTTCCAGGTCGTAAACTTATTCATTTTATCTGTGAGTTACACTATAGTTTCCAGGCGATATTTCAAGAAGATTTTGAGCTTTTGCAATGAAATTTTATACCACAACTCCCAAGGGCCTCTCAATGTGCCCCGC